CAGCCATTAACACCTTCCAGCATAACAATCTCAGCTCTGCCCATCCTCTCAATACAGTTTAACATGTTGACACCCGTAATGACTTGTCTCCCAGACAGAATTTTTTTTAATAATAATGGTGGGGGTAGGGGTGTCAAAGAGGGGCACCCAGACACCCTGGCTGGAGGGAGGGGGGACAGTTGGCAGGGCAATGGGGGACCCTAGCATAGGGGTGGTTGCAAGGACTTCCAGAAATGGTGGGAGATGGGAGGATGGAACACCACAGGGAGCTTGTGGGGGGAATTGAAGGGATGCAAGGAGCCCCTAGTTGTGCAAAGAGCTTGGCCTAGCAAAACTAGTAAGTGTGCATGTCCCCCATCCTCTCCCTCCCATAGTTAAGAATAATTTAAAAGCAGCAGGTCTTTCCATAATTATTGTTGCTTTTTGGAGTACTGTTCCCATAAAAATACATGTCAACTACTAGTAAAAGTTCATTTTTGAAAAAATTGTTTCAAAATTAACCTGTGCAACCTCTAATTTCTTCATTTTAATTAATCTGTTACTGAAAGCAACTTAGTTTTCATGGGTTCTGTTTGAAATTCCATGTCTTCATTTGTTAGTGTGAAAGCTGAATTTTTTCCTTTACAAAGTCAGGTTCTGTCAGTGTGAAAGGATTAAAGCTATCCTTTTTTTCCCCCCTAGGTTGAGGCCTGTCAGGGGGATTTAAGCACACTGGCAAATGTGGTAACATCATTAGCAAATCTCAGTAAGTCCAAAGACATGTCTCAAAGTAGTGCTGAGCTGTCTATGATTGAAAGTTTAAGCAACGGAGATACATCATTGTCTGAACTTCATCAAGAAGAGCAAGCAAGTAGTGATGTTACCAGGTAAGGCACGCTACAATATTTACATTTTTAAATATAATTCTTTTTGGTAATCTCACTCAAAGCTTACACAATCAAACAATGCAGATAGTTCTTCAGTAAAAATCATTACAGTACCATACTGAACTTGTGATGAAGAATTACCATACAGAAGATGCTAAATTGAGTTCTGAGTAAAATTTTGCAGTGAAGTTCCATTTAGAAATAAATATGAGTAAATTATATTTGTGTTTGGAAAGAATTTAAATGTAACCTTGGTGGCCGATTTATATTCCCATAATTGTCATAAGTAGTAGGCCTTGGCCCACATAGTATATGCTATATACTCTTCTAGTACTTTGTTCCACATAGGAAAATGTATTGTTCATAAGTCCCATCTACACAGGCAACTGAACATTGACAACTCCAGTTCAGTCACCTGGAATGCTCATAAAATACTTTCTGTCCATAGAGAAGTGCTTCATAGATCTTTTCAGTATTATTACAATGGCATTCACTCAGAGTACGTCTTACAAATCCTTTGCCTGCATTGGTTTTAATTTGAACCTTTTCAGTACTAGTGTAGGTAGGATAAGTGGGTATTACAGCAGTGCTGGTCCAGTTAATCCTTCCACCACAATCTTGCCCACCGTTTCAGCTCACGCATTTACACAACAGCAGCCAAGGTAGTATACATTCACTACATACTATCCATCCTGTACGCTCCAAGCCAAAAATTACTGTATTACACCAATGTAAATTTGGAGTAAATCCATTGGGATAAACTAGTCTTGCTCCAATTAATACAGCTGAGGATCTGGCCCCTAGGCTTTAGTTTGCTTTACTCTGTATTTACTGTTATTGCAAGCAGAATTTATGTAGACCTACCTCTTTCAGTATCTTATCTAATTCCCATTGAAGTCAGTGTGTCTCTTTCCATTGACATCAATAGGAACCTCGTAGGGCCCTCAATTGATATACCATATGAGACAGGACTTTGGAGAATATAATAGTTTATGATGATGTACTTCAAGACTGTAATGTACAAATGCACAAGGGGACAGAAGTAAGATAGCACAGGCAACCTTGACATTTCCTTACACTTTTCAGTGCCTAACTTTGCACCCTTTAATGTTCTTGTACCTATTTTTTTAAAATTGCAATCTATATAGTGTATATTAATGAGCAAGATGGGAGAGCTTTGCCCTTTCATAAGTCATCAAAAGGGAGTTTCCCTTCAGATAATGCATATTAGAGGAAAAATTGTTTCAAATGTAAAATTGAAACTTTGATTGAAGGCCATGTCTACACTAGAAAGCTTTACTGCTGGCATACAGTGCCAACGTGGCAATTTCAATAGAGCACTTGCACACTTGACTGCCTTTAACGGTGCAGTGCATCATCACGGTGAGAGATTGTATCAGCAAAAGGTACTTGGATTGCGGGTTGGCATCCAAGTGTGTCCCATGCTACCATCAGCACACTGCCTTCTGGGATATTTTGGAAGGGCGTTGTGGAATACCAGCACTCCTCTAAAGGAATTGTGGGAGCTCGTGGCCAAGTTTCCACAATTCCTTCTGTTGCATCCCATAGTTTTCTTGTTTCGTGCCATTTTAAAAATACCCTCAGTTCCTCATGCTGGTTTTCATTTCAGTCTTTCTGTCATCTTGCTGGCAGAAGCACGGATGCTGAACAGATCAGTAGAGTTTTCATGTCTATTTTAGAGACGGGTGCCTGATTCTTCTGTATTCTTCAACAACTACCACAGCAGCTAGGTGTGCAGCTATAAAAATGAGAAAACTGAGAGGAGGGATGATGCAGACAGTGAATGAAAATGTGTATGCTGAAAGCATTTACTAACCAGCTGCACATGGTGAAGTGATGCTTCTGGGCCCATGAAATGAACACCGAGTGGTGGGATTGGATTGTCATGCAAATCTGGGACAATCAGCAGTAGCTGCAGAGCTTTTGGATGCAGAAGGCCACATTCCTGGAGTTGTGTGTCAAGCTCATCCCAGCTTTGCAGCAAAGAGACACCAAATGAGAGCTGCTTTAACAGTGGAAAAACGGGGGCTGTCGCACGATGGAAGCTTGCAACCCCAGCTTGCTATCAGCTGGGGGGCTACCTGTTTACTGCTGGAAAGTCTATGGTGGGGGCTGTCATCTTCCAGGTTTATAAGGCCAGTAAGCATGTTCTGCTGCACAGGATTATGACTATGGGCAATGTACTGAAAATAATAGCTGGATTCAGTGCAATGGGCTTCTCAAACTGGTGAGGCAGTAATAGACAGGACACACATCCTGATTCTGGGCACCCCACCCTTACTTCTGAGTACATAAACGGAAAGGGATATTTTTCCCTGGTTATGGAAGCACTAGTGGTTCACTGGGGATGTTTTACTGACATTAACATAGGATGGTTAGGGAAGGTGCATAATCCTCACATTTTTAGGAATAGAGTCTATGTGCAGAGACACTTTTTCCTAGACTAGCACATTCACGTTGGTGGGGTTGCAATGTCAACTGTGACTCTCAGAGACCCGTCCTCCTCTTTGCTTCCCTGGCTCATGAAAACATACACCGGGAACCTGGACAGCAGCAAGGAAAGATTTAACTGTCGTCTGAGCTGGTGCAGGATGACTGTTGAGTGTGCATTTGGTAGATTGACAGGATGCTGGAGATGCCTTATGACTAGGTTGTATGTTGTGTTTTTCATAGTATTTGTGAAGCAAAGAGAAACATTACCGGCAGGGTGGAGGGTGGAAGGTGAAAAGACTGCTGATATTGAACAGCTAGACAATTACAAGAGCCCATCAAGGTTTTGTATGGCTAAGGGAGGTCTTAAAAGCGTATTTTAACTGTGCACCCCATAGTCCCAGTATGGTTGTTTGTGTTATTTTGTCACTTCATGATTAAAGTGTACTTGGGTTGTATATTCATTTTAAATGAATTCTGAATGCATTTTATGAATCCAGTGATGGAGGTCACAAAGCTGCTTTGCAAGACAACATAAATCTTGATTTTTGCAAAACAAAATTTTGAACTGTAATAAACAACAAAAATGGTTCTAAGAACGTTTAAAATCATTTTAAAAGAAAGTGCAAGGTGCTGACCCTTCTTGTATGAATCACAGGCCAGTGTACATATAGTTATAGAAATACTCCTTATTTTCCACTGGGGTTGAGAGCAAGGGATTACTGTGACATACTATGCTGATGCCTTGGTGAGGGAGTATTTATGCCAAGCTGTGGAAACAGAATTGTCCATGTAGTGCAGTGGCTGGTGGGGTGTATAACGCTTTATAGCATCTTCCTTTGCTGTCTCAGGAGCTGCATAATGTCTTGGTGGAGTTACCTATGCAGCTCCTCATACTTGTGCCTTTCCTCCAGCATGTACTCCCTCCACTTTCTTGTCTTGTGGGCCACAGACTCTGAGCTCCTGAGGAGATCTGAGCATGTTCTCCCCTGTCCTCCTGATCAAGGTCAGTCTTTTAGCAGGTGTGAAGGGGGCCACTCCCAATGATATCCCAACTGAAGCTGCTGATAAACAAGACACTCAGACATTGTTAGAGTTAAAGGGTTAGCAGGTAGGAAATAAGTAAGAAAATTGCTTAAAATGTTGCCATAACGATATTCATGAAAGTATGAAATGGGTCAGACTTGCTTTAGGACAGTTTAGCAGCATGGTGAGTATATTGGGGGCACTTTTCAAACCTGTACCCATGACGGGTTGGGGGATGGTCTGCCCTATGTCTTGGGTAATACATGTAGGGATAGTGCAGTAAATATTGCTAAACTTATTACAGGCAGTGGTGATTCTGGCTGGTGTATCATTCATGAGAGTACCAAAGGCCCCGAGGAGGCAACTGGTCAAGGTCCATATGCTGCCATCCTCTTCACACCAACACTGCTGCAGGAGCTTGTTATGGGGTGGCGGAAAAGTTTCCTATCATGGTGGAAGAAACAAAGCATCCCTCCTGAGAAATGTTCAAGCAAAATTTAAATCCTACAGTACCTGAAAACTACTTTGAGATTGTGCCAAATGATAAGAGATTTGTTCCAAGATCAACCAAAAACTCCAAAAGAGGAGAGAGTAGTCACTGCTGCCTAGCTTCTGCAAAGTCAATTCAAAGCCACACCCCCTAAGCCAGCAATAAACCATCTCTCCCTCTTTCTACCCCTGAATTCAAGCACCGCATGCAAATAATTGGTTTTTATTTGAATTCTAAGATTGGAATACCACAGCACTGCATTTTTCATGTTGATATTACTTGTTAACCATCCAATTTTAGTCAGAAGAAATCATATAGTCTGAATAATATTTACTGGATTGCTTCTAAGGATTATTTTAAATTTTCTGTGTATTTGAATTGAATGATCAAGTGTTGATTTCACTACATTTTTTTCCCTGCTTGTAGTGCATCAATTTATATTACTAAAAATCTGTCCACCCTGGCAAAAGGATACATGTGGGAAAGTTTTTGTGTTGCTTATTTTATAGTGTTCTCTCTTATTTTTTTGCCTATGACTGCCAGTGCATGTTGTTCAAATAAACTGTTTACTTCAAAAGGCTTCCTTTGTTTCTTGCCCACATATGTTCAGCCACCAGTTTTAGAGGTGGGGATGAGGGAGGGGAGTTCCAAGACCCATTCATAAAGTTTTTTTTTAAAGTGCAGTACACCTACCTGAGCTCTTTGCCCCTTTCTCAATGGGTTCCTCCTCTGGGTGAGTCAGGGTTAGGTTTAGCAGGCTCTTGAAGAGCTCCTTGTTCTATTCAGGGATTGCATCTTCCACATCCCCCTCCACTGTGAACTTTTCATCGCTGTGTATCGCTGGGGTTCTTTCTTGGTCTTATGAGATGTCCACTGTCACTCGAAGGGTTGTCTGCCCAGTATGGCATCCAGTGCCACATATTGCAGCAGGTGTGGGAAGGAGCTCCAGATTTTCTGTTGGCCTCCTTTGCTTATTGGGGGGTAGGACTGCTGCAGTTCCTTCTCCTTTGCCCACCATTGCTGCTTTTCCCTGTAATATCCCAGGTTTTGCATCCCTTCTGCAATGTCTGAATAATCTTTATTCCTGCAGCAGTTCCACAGCTGGGCTTGCAGTGCTTTTTCTTTCCATAGGTTGAGGAAGTCCAGGACTTCTTTCTGAGAACAGGCTGCAGTGCAAGCTTGTCTGATTCCCTGCCCCCACGCTCCCGTTAGCTGCAGCTTTACCTGATGCCTTACCTGTGTGTGAAGGCAGAAAAGGTGGGCCAGTAGGAAGAGAAGCATTTCCAAAACAGGCTGAAGATTTTAAAAGTGGGTGGACTTTGATCACTGTGACCTTCAAGCAGCAGAGTTCACAATTGGGACCAGAACAGTGACTGTGGCAGGGAAAGGGTCATTGTGGGATTGTTTCTGGAGGACTGTTTGTACCGGTACAAGTAATGCAGTATCCACACGGGCGTTATACCCATAGAACTGTGCCAGTACAGGATTTATGTTGTTTTTGTGGGACGTGATTTAACTTGACTGATAGAAAGCCGGGGTTTTATTGACAGGACTTAGAATTAAGCATGAATGCACCCAAACATGAGTTAACATAAGGCAAACTTTACTGGTAAAACTTAGTAGTGTAGATCAGGCCTAAATCTCACATAACTTCCTCCAAATATTACACAAACTTATTCTAAGAGACTCCTAAAAGTATTTGCTAAAGAAAGTGAGGTTGAGGCCTTTCAAGAAGGCAAACTGATTTTCTAGTCATTTGTTCTTTCGGTATCTTCTGTTGGGTGTGGTACTCACAGACACAAAATATAATCTTTACTTTCCTGCAATAAATTTAAGCCACACTTTAAATTGCCTGTGTCTAATTCCCTTTATGTTACAATTTTGTGTCTCACTTTTGTTTCCTAGCTGGATAACTGCCTAATTGTCCATAATCATTCTTCCCTACTGCTTGATTAGATCTATATAGCCATCCATGAGTGAGGGAGATGGAAAGGAACTGAAATTACTCAGAATGAAGTAAATCCATACTATGCGTGAACTACTCAGAACACACCTTGTCTTATTTAATGAGTTATGATTTTTTTTTGGTCCACACTAAAAATTTATTCTAGACATTCCTTTCTTTGGAACTTTATCTTGCAGTCTTTACTCATGCTAGTAAATGTTGGCGATAATGGGACTTCCTGCATGAACAAGGGCTACAGGACTGGGTTCTTAGGGCAGGGGTTCTCAAACTGGGGGTCGTGACCCCTCAGGGGTTGCGAGGTTATTACGTGGAGGGGGGGTTTCGCAAGCTGTCAGCCTCCATCCCAAACCCTGCTTCACCTCCAGCATTTATAATAGCGTTAAATATTTTAAGAAGTGTTTTTAATTTATAAGAAGGGTCACACTCAGAGGCTTGCTGTGTGAAAAGGGGTCACCAGTACAAAAGTTTGAGAACCACTTAAGGTATGTCTACACTGTGATTAGACACCCGCGGCTGACCTGTGCCAGCTGACTCAGGATTCAGGGCTGTGTAATTGCAGTGTAGACATCCAGGCTCAGGCTGGAGCCTGGCCTTTAGGACCTTGTGAAGTAGGAGGGTCCCAGAGCTCAAGCTGGAACATCTACACCCGCAATTAAACAGCCCCACAGCTTGAGCATTGGGATCCTAGTCAGCTGGCACGGGCAGCCACGGGTGTCTAACTGCTGTGTAGACATACCCTCAGGGAGCAAGCTTGTAAAACTTGGCTTATTGTTGCAGAAGGAGTTGCAGTGTAGGAGGGAAAAGGATTTCCTTGGAGATAAACATTTAATGTATGAGTATTGAAGCCTTATTTCCTTTTCTAAAGAAGGGATGATGGTTGCACACATTTCACCACTACGCAGCCCACACTGAAGTGGGCCGGAGGGTTGAGGCAGATCAGAGAGCCCTTGGGACTGCTTTGGCTTGCTCTCCCTGACACCATGTCTGGCAGCAGTAGCGTTATTTAGCCCCTTCATATAGACAGATGTTTTGATCTGACTCTGTCTCTGCCTTAACTCTCCTCTTTGTGGCAGCTGCTCCCTCACCTGCTAAGTATTTTGAATGGAGAGGTGAAGGCTGATTATTGTTGTGTTAGCTGCAAGGAGCCCTGAAAAGGATCCCAATGGTGGCAGTCACTGGGCTACTGTTCCTGCCCCCCCCCCCCCATGCTGCCAGGAGGAAGCCCCAGGGATCTGCTCCGTAGATGTTATAGCAGGAGGCAAAGCTTAAGATTCCCAAGGATTCTATGCCCACAACTTTCTTCCTCATCTTCTCCACCCCCAATATTTGTTTTTAAAATAATGCTTGTAGCAGAAAAAATAAGGTGTGGTGCTTTAGCGATTTTCAAATTATCACACTGGGGAGCAAAATGGAATATATTTGGAAGTACAAGCCTATACAGACTCTGTCTAGACTGAAGCCTACACTGAGCCAAGATTTTACATTTTCCTTGCTTTTGCTGTGTAATTTGACTGAACTCATAGATAACAATGTCTTCTGATAGGGCATTTGATACTCTTGCGAAAGCACTAAACCCAGGAGAGAGTGCAGCATGTCAGAGCTCTGCAGAGACTGTTGAAGCCAATGTACATCTGATTGGTGGAGAAACAAGCATGAATATCGTTGAAATAGAGGGGCCGCTTCTCAGCGATGCACATGTAGCTTTCAGGGTATTTTATATGTTTTTAATGTTTTTAACTTATAACCATTAAAACTAATTCCTTAGCCATTTTAAAAGTTCAAGAATTTGGTATGTACTGTATTTGTTTATTTGTTTGAATTTCTTAAGGAATAACCATGTGTGCTGAAATACTGTCATTCATGTTCTGAGGAATGCACTGCTTTTGTTCAATGGTTAGCTACTTCTTGTTCAGGAAAATTAACATCCCTCCTGAGTGTTTTTGCAGCACAGTTTATTATATAAACAGCACTGTTTGCTGCAATCTTCTCTGTAGCTTATTTCCCTCAAAATCAGTTTGTAATCCATGCTAGGGGATTTACAGCACTATGTAGTTACAAAAAAACAGAGATTCCTAAGTATTACAGTGTGCCATACATACGAACTCTTGACATATGAGCCAAGCATGCAGGATTTAGAACTGAGGCTCTGGACCTCATTTGTGACAGGACTTCTCCTTTGCTTACCTATCTCACTGCTTTAGGATATTAATTGACTTTAACCATTGTGGTTCTCTTGCCATTTTCCACAACCTTTTTTGGGAGAGGAGCCAAATACTTGGAATTTTTATTTCCACTTTATGAACCTATGGAATTTCCTCTATCTTTTTCCTCTTCAATTCATAGCTACCGCTTGAGCAAATAAAAAGACTGCATATATGAACATTTCAATACAGAGCATTGCAATGGACTTTGTCCTCTCCCACCAGCGCACTCTTTGGTCACGCTTGTAAATACAAATCTAACGCTAATCCTAGAACACGGTTTCTATGTTTTAAAATAGTTATCTTAGTGAAAACTATTTTAATTCTATTAATTTTATATATATATATAGTCAATTATTAATCTCTAGGAATAGAACTACTGCATTATAATTAAATATCCATTTTGGGTCAAATCCTGTTGCCCTTACTCATGCAATAAACCTGTTGACTTCAATGGAACTATGTGTGAGAGTCACTTGGGAAGCGTGGCCATTTATGTTTAATGTGAGCATCTTGTTTATATGAGCAGTGCTAGGATATCAGGCAGTTTATATATGCTGAATATCAGGTGTAGCATGTTAACATACTAGAATAGTATATTTATTTGTAAAATAGTAATTTTAAAAACTACAAACCAAAGAATTTTTGTAAATATTTCCCCCCCCTAAAACTAATAATTTTGGCAATTCCACTAATTTTTCAGGCCATTTATTCTACTCCTCTGGGGCAAGCTATGGAAAGGTATGCTACCTCCCAATTTGTATTTTTTTATATATATCTATAGCTATAAGTGTAAGCAATTGCATCAAAATAATCCCGCTGACAGTGTTTCCTCTAAAGTATCAGTCTTCTCAAAAATGTCTCAAAAGATTGCAATGTAATTTACTTGGGATGTTCATACCTAAATTTTTCAAATATATGATCATCTTTATAAAGTGTGGAATTCAAATAAATTTGCCCTGTTTCTTCACTGCTCTGTAATTCTATACAAGTTTAACAATTGTGGCTAATATTGAACAAAGGCAGTCATGCAGTTTATTTCAAGGCTGTATCTCATTCATGTTATTTTAAAAATACACTGCTTTCCTTTTTTCCTTGCAAGACATTATGTCAAAGACTAGTTTTTTCTAATTAAAATGTTTAACAAGAAGTAAGATCACTAATTTTACAATTCCTTTTTGCATCAGCTCACCATGCCTTCTCCGATGCCTGAATACCTGAATGTTCATTACATCTGTGAGTCAGCCTCCAGACTACTCTTTTTGTCCATGCACTGGGCACGCTCCATTCCTTCCTTCCAAGCTCTAGGGTGAGTGTTCAAACATTCTTTGATATAATCAGTGGACTAAATAGACCATTTGTCCTGGAATATACTCTTATATCAAGGGAACATTGAAAAACATAATCCCAACTATACATACAAAATGATGGGGTCTAAATTAGCTGTTACCATGCAAGAAAGAGATCTTGGAGTCATCGTGGATAGGTCTCTGAAAACATCTACTCTATGTGCAACAGCAGTCAAAAAAGCTAACAATGTTAGGAACCATTAGGAAGGGGATAGATAATAAGATTGAAGCTATCATGCCACCTTATAAATCTGTGGTACACACATACGTAGAATACTATTTGCAGTTCCAGTTTTCCCATCTCAAAAAAGATATACTAGAATTGGAAAAAGTACAGAGAAGGGCAACAGAACTGATTTAGTAATATGGAACAGTTTTCATATGAGGAGAAATTAAAAAGACTTATGTTAGAAAAGAAATAATGTGGGGTGCAGGGGCTATGATAGAGGTCTATAAAATTATGAATATTGTGGAGAAAGTGAATAAGGAAATGTTATTTACCTCTTCACATAACAGAAGAACCCAGGGTCACTGAATGAAATTAATAGGCAATAGGTTTAAAACAAACAAAAGGAAGGACTTCACCATATAAGGGACAGGAAACCTGTGGAATTCATTGCCGGGGATGTTGTGAAGCCTGGATTCAAAAACGAATTAGCTAAGTTCATGGATGGTAGGTCAATCAATGGCTATTAGCAAAGATAGTCAAGATGCAACCTCATGCTCTGGGTGTCTATAAACCTCTGACTGCTAGAAGCTGGGACTGGACGACAAGAGATGGATCACTGGATGAATTGCCCTGTTCTGTTCATTCCCTCTGAAGCATCTGATACTGATCACCTTGTCAGAGGATAAGATACTGGGCTAGATGGACCATTGGTCTGACCCAGGATGGTCATTCTTACATTCTTGAATTAGGTTTGGATTATTGTAAACTTGTACTAATAAAAAATCACCTTTATATTGCTTTTTTTAAAGATATCCCCGACAATACATCTAAACAATTAAATGAATTTGTTAGAATTGTTGAGTACTCTTCATTAGAAACATTAAGTCTAAAGTAGGATTGTTGATTAATCGCAGTTAACTCACGCGATTAACTCAAAAAAATTAACCGCAATTAATTGCAGTTTTAATCGCACTGTTAAACAATAGAATACCAATTGAAGTTTATTAAATATTTTGGATTTTTTTCTACATTTTCATATGTATTGTATTCTGTGTTGTAATTGAAATCAAAGTGTATATTATTTTTTATTACAAATATTTGCACTGTAAAAATGATAAACAAAAGGAATAGTATTTTTCAGTTCACCTCATACAAGTACCGTAGTGCAATCTCTGTCGTGAAAGTGCAACTTACAAATATAGATTTTTTGTTGTTGCTTCATAACTGCACTCAGAAACAAAACAATGTAAAACTTCAGAGCCTACAAGTCCACTCAGTCCTACTTCTTGTTCAGTCAATTGCTAAGACAAACAAGTTTGTTTATGTTTACAGGAGATAATGCTGCACCCTTCTTATTTACAATGTTACCAGAAAGTGAGAACAGGCATTTGCATGGAACTTTTGTAGCTGGCATTGCAAGGTATTTACGTGCCAAATATGCTAAACATTCGTATGTATGTCCCTTCATGCTTTGGCCATCATTCCAGCGGACGTTCTTACATGCTGATGACGCTCGTTAAAAAAATTTGCTAATTAAATTTGTGATTGAACTCCTTGGGGGAGAATTGTATATCCCCTGCTCTGTTTTACCTGAATTCTGCCATCTATTTCATGTTATAGCAATCTTGGATGATGACCCAGCGCACATGTTGTTCATTTTAAGAATACTTTCAGTGCAGATTTCACAAAATGCAAAGAAGGTACCAATGTGAGATTTCTAAAGATAGCTACAGCACGTGACCCAAGGTTTAAGAATCTGAAGTGCCTTAGGTATATCTCCATATATTATATCTCATAGAACTGGAAGGGACCCCAAAAGGTCATCGAGTCCAGCCCCCTGCCTTCACTAGCAGGACCAAGTGGCCCCCTCAAGGATTGAGCTCACAACCCTGGGTTTAGCAGGCCAATGCTCAAACCACTGAGCTATCCCCTCCCCCCCTTCTGAAATCTGAGAGCGACTAGGTGTGGAGCATGCTTTCAGAAGTCTTAAAAGAGCAACACTCATGCAGAAACTACAGAACCCCAACCACCAAAAAAGAAAATCAACCTTGTGCTGGTGGCATCTGACTCAGAAAATGAATATGTATTGGTCTGAACTGCTTTGGATTGTTATCGAGCAGAACCCGTCATCAGAATGGATGCATGTCCCCTAGAATGGTGGCTGAAGCATGAAGGGACATATGAATCTTTAGCACATCTGGCACGTAATATCTTGCAACACCGGCTACAACAGTGTCATGAGAACACCTGTTCTCACTTTCAGGTGACATTGTAAACAAGAAGCAGGCAGCATTATCTCCTGAAAATGTAAACAAATTTGTTTGAGCAATTGGCTGAACAAGAAGTAGGACTGAGTGGACTTGCAGGCTCTAAAATTTTACATTTATTTTTGAATGCAGGTGTTGGTTTTTTTACATCTACATTTGTAAGTTCAACTTTCATGATAAAGAGATTGCACTACAGTACTTGTATAAGGTGAATTGAAAAATACTATTTCTTTTGTTTTTTTACAGTGCAAAAACTTGTAATCAAAAATAAATGTAAAGTGAGCACTGTACACTTCGTATTCTGTGTTGTAATTGAAATCAATATATTTGAAAATGTAGAAAACATCAAAAATATTTAAATAAATGGTATTCTATTATGGTTTAACAGTGCGATTAATCGTGATTAATTTTTTTAATTGCGCAATTAATCACACTTATTTTTTTTAATTGCTTGACAGCCCTAGTATAAAGTGAAGATCATTGCATTGCATTAGAAAATGAAAACCTGTGTTTGGTTGTTGGCAGAGAACTTAACTTGTCTATGCATATCATCATTTCTTGAATTCGTCACCTTTTAACATCTCATTATTTCCTGTGGTACATGAGTTGCAAGTGGTGAGACTGAACTCAGCCTGCATTTGCAACTGGGATGCAATGGTGATGTGAATTACCAAAGAATGGTAGAGAGAGGCTGATACACAGCTAACCGTGTGCCTTGGGCATCAGATATTGTTCTCTTTTTGCAAATCAATTATTGGTAGTCACTGTACCATTATTAACCTATTCTGGCAGATAGTGAGAAGTATTAGTAAAAACGTTTATCAAACATTGAGAGGTGTGTGTGGGGGGTTATTGTAGGGCGTGGCAGTTATCAGAAATAAATTGCCTCTTGCCACTAAAACCAGTTTTTATCATTCTCTTTATATTTTCTTAAGAGCTTGCACTTTGTCCAGCAAAATCCATTAGCTCTCTTAAATTTCTTAGCTCTGATATAGTTCATGTAGTTCTGTGTGACATGAGGAAATGCATTTAATTCCAAGACAAAGAGAAACAGCTTGTGTGCACTCTATAACTTTCCTGTCAGGTGTCATTTTATGAGACAGAGTAATTTCAGAACATACTCTTAAAAAAAAAAATCAAATGTTAAATATACTATAGCTACTATGAGGAAAAAATGGAGAAAATGCAAGTTAACCTTCGCCCATACATAAGTCATATTGGTCTCTGCCCACATCTAAAATGCCTTGGATAAATTCTTTGCGATTAACTTGCATGATGTCTCCATTTCCCCTTTGTGACTAAATCAAATACTGAAACAGCTGTTGACTTTCAACTAAATTTATTTTAAAACATAATCCAACAACATGCCAGCTTTCAGGTTTTTAAAAAAAGGCCTTCAGCCTGCCATTCAGCATCCTCATCACAGGAGCCATTTGAACTTCTGCCACTGCATGTAAATATTGTTTGAAAACTAGTGTAAACCCTGAGCAAATTAATGTGATCGGACATGCATTGAAAATGTAACTAATGATGTCTATCAGCTTGCTTGTGCTAGGGAGGTGTAGAGAGACAAAATGGGTGAGGTAACATCTTTCATTGGACCAACTTACACTGAGCTTTTCTTCATGTCTGGGAAAAGTACTCAGAGCGTCATAGCTAAATATAAGGTTGAACAGATTGTTTAAATAAGTAGTTAAAATACATTTCAAGATGAAGTGGACCGTTAACACTCTTCCAGTCATGGGGAGGAGACATCGGGGGCAGTTGTTAGTGATTTATAGATTCTTGCAATAAGCCATAAATCCAGTGTGTCTATTCAGTAGATGATTTTTAGTGTCCAGCAAAGTTATGAATTTAACTCCCAGGCTCGTCTTGACCGTGTTGTGCAGGTTTCCTTTGAGGAGGAGGACGGATAAGTCCGGTATAGTGTGATCACTTTGTGAAAAGTGTTCACCCACAGGTGATACAATGTTTTTTCTTTTATCATTTTCCTCCGTGAATTCATTCAAGAGTGTAGTGATTGTCTGGTTTCACCCACATAGTTGTAATTGGGGCATTTAGTGCACTGTATGAGGTACACCACATGTTGTGATAGGCACATGTAGGACCCATGGATTTAGAAAGGTATGTGGGAGTGGGCGTTGATCATTGTTGCAGTGGAGACATGTCTGCAGGTTTTGCATGTTCTGGCAGGGTCTGGTGCTACTTTGAGTTGGTGTGTCCTCTCCTGTCTTTGCAGCTGCTGAGCTTGGAGAGTTGGGAGGTTGTTTGAAGGCCAGCAGAGGGGTTCAGGAAAGATTTCTTTCAGAATGGGGGTCCCCATCGAGTATGGATTGTTGTTGTTTGATGATACCCCTTCTGGGTTCTTGTGTGAGGAGGTAGTTGAGAACTACTCAGTTGGTGTGCAATTGGAGGGTGTTTTATTTCTGTATTGAAGCAAATTCTCTCAGAGTATTTGGGTGGACAGTTCTGTGATGCAGACTATTAATATTTAGTTCTTTAAAAATAAACCAACTTCTATACAAATGCCACTTTTAACATAAACCTGGGAATTTTAATTCTAACATGCAAATAAAAATATTTTTGATCTGGATTTTGATTTGTTGGAAGTGGTAGTAATGCCTAAACTAGATTAATTGTTACTATTTGTACTGTGCTCTGCAGATGTGAAGCACTCTTTAATTGCAAGTAAACAATTTCATTAACCAGATTTTTTTGTTCCTTTAAATAGGCAAGATAACAGCATATCATTAGTAAAAGCCTGCTGGAATGAACTTTTTACACTTGGTCTTGCACAGTGTTCACAAGTGATGAATGTGGCAACTATATTAACTGCATTTGTTAATCACCTGCATGGTAGCTTACAGCAAGGTAAGATGCATCCTGCCATTTTTTCAGGGTGTAAATGGGGAGTTAATTAACAGCATGAGTTAAATGTCAGTGCATAATTTTTATACTGTGCAGAAGTTTACTAGTTGTCTGTGAATTGTTAATGGGAATTTATTGTGTACACAATTGAATGGCCACTATTGAAATAATAATATAAAGTCCATGAAAAATGTGGAAAATTTTAGCAAACCTACAGAAGTCAGTCACATTTAGTAATAATAAAAACTGTATTTTAATGTGTCCCCTTCCTTTTCGTTTTCTCTCTCCCTCCCAGAAAATTTATATACAAATAATTGTTCTAATTAAAAATGCAAAGTTCAATAGGATATGCTGAACAACCTCAAGGAAAATATGTGCAGTCAAAATTTACTTGCGTCCTGCATTCAGTCATCAGTCTCTATAAAATTGTGTTGGAAGTCTTGCTGTTTTGTATGGTATAAAGCAAGACTAAATTCTGAGTTTTAGTAGAATTTAGATTTCACAAACTAAACAAACTTAGTGGGCAGTGTGTAGCTTATATGATTTGAGAAGTGAAAGAGTAATAAGTTGCAAGTTTTTATCAGTGAGGGCAATTAATCATTGGAACAGCTTACGAAGGGTTGTGGTTGATTTTCCATCACTGGAAATTTTTAAATCAAGATTGGATGTTTTTCTAACAGATACGTACTCTAATTCAAGCACTGCTACTGTTAATTTAAAGAAGGAATTATTAATACATGGATATGCTATTATTTGTGTTATGCAGAAGTTCAGATTAGACAATCACAATGGTCCCTTCTGGCCTTAAGATCTATTACTGTACAAGTCCCATTATGGAAAATCATGTAAAATATGTTCCTAAAACTAGAAGCAGTTTATAGTGTAAGAAACTTTTAGCATATTAATTTGATTCTCCATGTTCCTGGAGACTTAAGTATTTTTTCTTCAGCTGCTTCTTTTCAGTCCTAACTTTAAAATGTACTTGAATTTGACTGAAATGTATTATGGAGAAGGGAAAGGTTACAATATTCTTTTCTCCTTCATGAATTGGGTCTGTAGATTCCCATTGTAGGTATCATGACATAACTCATGATCCATAGAGCTATGCTAGTCAGGGCTCTATTCATAACTGCCACATAATTGTACCTGAGAATTTGTTTTAACACACACATCCTCCAAAAAACAACAATCCTTGTGCTAGTGAGGGGGCGGAAAATGCTTCTGAATGTGAACTAGATGCAAACTGATTCTGTGATAGCTGCCAGAGGATGCAGAAGGCCAAAGATAGAAGCTCAAAGATAAATGTGGACTGCCGTCCTTCATTCCGGGTGGTAACACTACAGCCTGACAATATAAAGTCAGTGGAGAAAATCTGAAGGGGAGCACCAAAAATGATTAAAGGTGTAGAAAACATAACCTATGAAGAAAGATTTTTTTTTTTAAATGGGTTTGTTTAGCTTGGAGAAAAGAAGACTGAGTGAGGGACATGATAACAGTTTTCGAGTATATAAAAGGTTGGTATAAAGAGGAGGCTGATAAATTGTTCTCCTTAACCACTGAAGACAGGACAAGAAGTAATGGGCTTAAGTTGCAGCCAGGAAGATTTAGGGTTAGACATTAGAAAAAGCTTCCTAATTGTAAGGGTAGTTAATCACTGGGGCAAATTACCTAGGGAGGTTTGTAGAAGTCTTTAAGAACAGGTTGGGGATGGTTTAGATCAGTGTTTCTCAACGATAGGTCCATGGACCGGTGCCGGTCCCTGAGATTTCCCTGACACAGTTTAGGAAGCCAGAAAGCTGGTCCATGGTATCAAAAAGGTTTAGAAACACTGGTCTAGATAATACCTAGTCCTGTCTCAAGGTGGAGACTGGATTAGAAGACTTATTGAGGTCCCTTCCAATCTTACATTTCTATGATTCTGCTCTATGATTCTGTGATAATTATCTAACTGCTGATACTTTCAGCAGAAATATCAAGCTAATTGTCATTTTGGTGCACATTAGTAGATTTTGGGGTGGTGTGCAATGAGACTGCTAGTTGCAGTCCTGGTTTACTGGGAGTGGAAAATGAGAAATTCAAAACACTCCTTTCCCCACATTTTAAGTCACTTCTGCCCTTGCCCAAGATAAGATAAATCCTTCTTTGCAATACAAAAAGCCTTATCTGTCTCCTGGATACCACAATCAGCAATCATGTTTTGCAATGTTCTGAAAACTGTGTCCCCCGCCCCGGTTCAGCTTCCAAAACCTCTAGGTTTCCCAGGACAACTACTACAGCATAGTTACTCATTGTCAGTACAGAAATCTCATATTCCAGTGATTTCTACCCTGGTACCACCCCCTCTCATCCCTTGTAATCCTATAAGAGTAACTTTTTTTTACGCCATCTCCTTCATACTGAGTGCTACACTTTTTTTGCTTGACCCAGTTCTTACCTGGATCTGGTTTCCCCCATCCCAGTCAAGAGATTTGGAGGTTCCTGTTTCTTTTCAAAGCTCTTGCAGTTATGAACTATTCAGCTGATCCTAGCTGATTTAATGTTGCAGGTTTAATGTGCAAATCCCAACAACTTTCAGAGCCATGTCACCACCTCATCTTACTCCTATCTGATACTGAGTCTTTGAAGAAAAATTGTTTGTTTCTTGGACTTCACCTGTTGTGTGGGATTAACCCTATGATAGCTCACCTCATAGGTCTTGTAATGTGTGTCTAGAGTGGCAACAGACCCAGTCCAGCAAACTCACCATTCACCGAGGCATTGTCTACATTGAGAATTTAAGGAAAATACCTTCCATTGCTTGGACACAGTGGTAAAAATGCCAGTGGCCAATCTACATCAGTGCCCCCACAGTTACTAGCACTAGTGGGGCTGCACTGGTGCTAGAGCAACGGTGGAGGATTTCCCTACAATTCTCTTTTTTTTTTGTATAGTTTCATCTCTGTTTGAAGCTATACACATACAAGGGTGACTGGTGCAGTCTTTTCAGAAGGCGCTTCAAGCGCTGAAAACAGCTGCTTGACTGGGTCTCTGTCAGTATGGAAAGATCTGTGATAAGACAGACAGGTCCTAACACTACTTTAGACTCTATGAGAAGAATAGCAGTTCTTAAGAACCCACCAATTTCAGTCTTTCTTTTCTTGTTCTGGGAGGTTGGAGGTTGGAGGTGACCTTAGACCTTTAGGTGAGTTGCAGTAACAACAACAAAAGAATAAGGTAAAGAAAGTGACACCTGAGTTGACTGAATTATTTAATGAGTGGAGGTCTCTGGAATGAAGCAAAGCACATCCCCTTCATCTTGCTCCATGGAAGATTACAGCAGAAAAAAGGGAAATTCTTAAGGCTAGAGTTTTCAAAAATTAGTGCCTACGGTTAGGGTCCTAAACGAGAGGCCTGACTCTAAAAATTGCTGTGCATCCAGTGGCCTTCATTGATTTCAGGGGAAGCTGCTAGATACTCACGAATTTTGAAAATCAGGGTACGTCTATACCCAGCCGCTAGTTCGGCGGCTGGCAATCGAACTTCTGGGTTCGACTTATTCCGTCTTTTCTTGAAGCGAATAGGCCAACCCCGC